GCCTGTTTTGCTGCATTTGTACAGCAGACTTCATCATACTAGAATATGCTGCATGCTTTCTAAAGACTTCTTCACTACACTGGTAGTGAAGTACCAGTACTTTTAAGTTAAGTTTTACAGATGCAAGTATATTTTTTATCATTCCTTATTACTCCGCTATCATTTATGTCAATGGATAGAAGCACATGCACATGTGTGCATCTGTACCGAACTTAACAAGAACATGATTTGTGCATATTTACAAAATGCTACTATTTCCACTCTGCCTTCCTGCCCGAGGTCGCAAGCAGCCTAAAACTCTCTAGTCTCTCTTCACAGCTCTATTAATCAGAGGGAGAAAGAGACGTGAAGAGTGCCTGGGGGAAAGCCTCCATGTTGCTGCTCAAAGAAGCGCTCAAAAATGACTTTTTGTACAAAACACAGTGGCACTCGGTTACAGTAGCACTTTGTAATAACACGCTGGCTGCCTTGGGAAATTAAAGTATCAAGCTGCAGGCATAAATATTGAAGCCGGTATTTACAAAGCGGAATCCACTTATGTGATTACTGGAAGTTAAAACTCGGCATGGAAAGAAGTTTTAGTCCGCAGCAATACAGTTAAGATTTTGAATACAGCAATCTTCTCCCACACAAATGTAAAAACATGCAAGTAGTTGCAAAACTAAATGCTAAAATTGCTTGCAAAGCTTTTCATGTGCATAATGAGTATGTATTTGTGTAATGAAATGGAAGGTGTCTATATACCAAAACTGAATAGCTTTCAGATCTTGAAGACAGTACCTCAGGTTAAACCTGGAAGATCAATAGCCATGGCAGCCCCCCGGATGAAATTGTCCTCGGCAGATGGTCATGATGTTTGGCCTCCACAGATCTTGAGTTTCGGCAATCTCTAGCGTTTCACAACAGACTGCTGTTAAGGGGAGAGACTAACACGGCCACGCAGCTAGATCATCAGACAGCAGCATTCTCATTCAGCTTCCAAATACAGGTAGTTACTGCACACTGGAATTTGCATATTTCTACATATGGCTAGTCACGAGGTGTATTTTATTGCCTTAGGAAACGAAAACAACTTCCACTTTCACCCTCAAAAGTGTTCCTGTAAAGATGTTAACTCAAACGGGAATCTTCACATAGGCACTTCCCGATTTTGACCATTCCTTTGTATCAAAACCCCTTTTACCAAAAAAAGAGGTACTGTGTATTCCACAAGCATGCCAAATCCACCTTGTTTTCACACAAGCGTTGATGAGCTAACACACGTCTGTCTGTCACAACTGTTTCAGAGATAATGGGTCAACCATGCCGCTACTTCAAAGGGTTAACTGAGATGGATGCAGAGGTGAAGCTCCTGACTGTATGCTGCAATTCGCTGAAGTCATGCTCTATCCATTCAGCTTCTTGGGCTTTTACTGCCTGAATTTACTGCCCATTTACAAACCAGAAGTTACCTAAACTCACAGAATCTCCCTGACTGTAGAAATGGTCATCTCACCTTCCAAGATGCCTGAGTATCCATAAGCTGTGTCTCTTGAAAGATACCAATATAATTTCTGAGAGCTGAGAACTGACCAGGCAGTCGAACTTCTTCAGTCTCCCAAGGAATAAGGCTGATTCTTTTTACAAAAACGAAACAAACCAGTTAATGCACAAAATTTAAAGCGGAGTTAGCTCTGACAGTAGCATCCTTACCTCCAGAATCAAGTTTACTACAGCTTAAAATAATGTGCAGCCCAGTGGAGTTGCTCATCATTCAACTGCACAGGGGGGTATTGTGATAATGTTACAAGTGCCCAGCTAGCAGTGGAAAGTGACACTATCTACATGAATCGCATTCTGCTTTGGAACTTTACACCAACGGTAAAATCAGAGGGGTCTCTCCTCTTTCTCAACACAAGAAACAGCATTCTGTATCGCCGTCTTGCCAGCAAGGCAAAAACTTTCATCAGGGAGAGAATCTCCAAGACGTTTTGAAAGTTTGAAATAAGTTACAAAGGCTCATACTGCCAAATCACTAAGCATTTAAAAAAGATCAAAGCAAAAAGCCAACCACAGATTCAGGTTAATATTTTTTAGATTCAACAGATTCAACTACAGTTTTTAATACTCTGGCCTTTTTGCTTCCCCCGGCAAGTACAGACACAAGTCTTTGCATGTGTCCTGGTTTCGGCAGGGATAGAGTTAATTTCCTTCCTAGTAGCTGGTGCAGTGCTGTGTTTTGGATTTAGGATGAGAACAATGTTGGTAACGCACCGATGTTTTAGTTGTTGCTGAGCAGTGCTTACACTAGTCAAGGGCTTTTCAGCTTCCCGTGCTCTACCAACAGAGAAGGCTGGATGTGCACAAGGAGCTGGGAGGGGGCACAGCCAGGACAGCTGACCCAAACTGGCCAATGGGACATTCCATACCATGGGACGTCATGCTCAGTACATAAACTGGGGGGAGTTGGCCGGGGGGCACTGCTGGGGACTGGCTGGGCATTGGTCGGCGGGTGGTGAGCAGCTGCATCGTGCATCACTTGCTTTGTATATTCTATCATCATCATCATTATTATTACTATTTTCCCTTCCTTTTCTGTCCTATTAAACTGTCTTTATCTCAACCCACGAATTTTACTTTTCTTTTTCTCATTCTCTCCCCCATCCCACTGCGGGGGGGAGTGAGTGAACAGCTGTGTGGTGTTTAGCTGCCTGCCAGGTTAAACCACAACAACATGTCAGCAGGCAGGGCCCTTAAATTTTCATTTAAATATAACTCAAATCATCTCCAAGTTCCATACCCTTATATACAGTTTATTATAACATGGGATTTATAAGAAAAAATTGCTGATTGTCTTGCTTTAAAAAAAAAAAAGGGAAAAAAAAAAAAGACATAAATACCAAACAAACAGATGAGATTATTAAAAAAAATTATTTTCTCATTTTTCATCATGAAATGATAAACCTACTTGGAATTTTTGATCACTGAAACACTAACAGCATTTAACAAGTAGCCAAAACACAAATATCCAGCTGGTGTCATAGAAATTTAACTACGAATGGGCAGCTGGGTGCAATGCTGGACTTCACTCAGAGGACTCATTCAGAAAGACACGTTAAATCAAGACAGCTGTCCTGTGACAGCTCCTGGGAAGTACAGCGTCTTTAAAAACTATGATTTAGTGTGACCTTTTTGTTCCATTTGTCATTTAAGTTGAAACATTCAATATGAAATAGGACCAGAACACACAAACGGCAGCTTCTAATACAGGTTCTTCTCCGTTCTGTAGCGAAGCACAGGATGCACTCAACTCCCACACCCAGACTGTGCCCAGCTTCTCTTTGCCTTACTGGACGTCTGGGACTGGCCATAGCAAAATTTCTTAACCTGCAAGGGCAGCAATTTTGAAATATACTTGACCACCACGTTTTAGTGGAAGAAGGTAAATGGGTTAGGTGAAAGATAGCATACCGAGGCAGAACTAGTTTAACGAAAGAATAAATTCACATTTTGGCCACTCCCTTCTCCCTACTGCTGAAGAAAGAAAAAAAAGAAAACCTACTGATTGCCACCTTAGAATTCAGCATAAGAAGCCATCAAACAAGTAAACAGTATCTTTAAAAATTATGCCAGCTGTCTACGTGATCTCAGTTCCAATACTGAAGAGGACTGGGAAGCGCACATGCTACCAGCTGAAAGAGGAGGAGATTGGGCAAAGACGCAGCGTGGCAACTTCCGAGGCACATACGGAAGTTGCAACCAGAGGTGCACTGTGGGGGATCTTTAAAGCAGCTGTTACAGCACCACAAAGCAGCCCAGCCTCGGCAGTTTAACTGGTGACAGTTGTGGTGGGCAGGGCACTCCCTCTTCTGCAGATTCCTGAAGGATGAGAGAATTACCACCTCCTGCTGTTACAAGTGCTTGGTTCACTACTCTGTTTTCAAAACATGCAGGCCAACAGCTGACTTACAGGACCAAAAAAAAAAAATCACCTTTTTTTTGTCCTAAAAAAAGCACAGATTTATATTCACAAGACCTAATACACCACCGGAAAGCAGTCAGATATGTGAGTGATGAATGGAGTCCTGCAAACACTTCAGACACTTTTGTTTCGAGACATCTAAGATAATCAAGTAAGCACTTGCAGAATCTGTGGCCACAGGACTTGAACAGAATTCAATTTGTCAAATACATTTCTGTATGCAGGTTATCAGAGTCAGCTGTCTTCTACACTGACCAGAACTAGGCATTTTTTGAGAACTAGCTGAAGCTTTCAGAAGAAAAGCAGTTAGTGCTACTAGCTTTCCTAAACAGCAAAGACCTCCACTAAAATCCTCTGAATTCCAGATGACTTTAAAAAGCAAGGCACTAGGTAAGTATGTTCTGTTTTGGCAAGCAGCGTTTCAACTTAACATCAAACTAGCAAGTACAAACTGGTCACATTTTAATAAAAAACAGCAATACTTAAAATAAAAGAATGATACTAAAAAAAGAAATGCACAAGGAACACTACTTTAGGAACCATTAAAACTACATGCACTGTAAACAGTTAAGAAAGTCAACTGAAAGGTAGGGTACAATTCAGTAATTGGCGAAATGTAGTTTACTCTTCACAGAATCAGTCCTCGGAGTCAGAACACAAGGACAGCAGCAGTTCACAGACACAAGCACCTCCCTGTTTGCAGGAAAGACCTCAGAAGTTAACAAGCACTCTGAGCTTCTCTCTCAGAAAGCATTCTCCTCCCTGCAAATTCAGTGCTATCCACCCTTGTTCAGCGATGACAACTGCCACAGTTTTCAAGGTAGAGTGCCCGAAGACCATGTTCTCATCCTTTGAGGTTAGCAGAGCCTGGGATGCACAGAACATCTCAAATCACGGCTGCTCTTGCAAGGTATACTCTCTTTAGACATCCATATTCTTGGAGTCCACAGTTTCCAAACTACTGTATTGTTGTCAAAGTGTATTAAAAATGTAACTGATTAAAATGCAGATGTCTGAGCATGTTTTTCCATGAATTGAAAAATTCATACATCCTTACTCAGAAAAGTACACCAGAAGGACTTCAAGTGCAAAGGGCTCCTTCGACCTCAGGGAAGAAGATTAGAAGCCTAACCCAAAACCCAGCAGTACACTCAAAACTCAAGCTGTTTGATGGTTTTAACAGCCAGAACAACAGATTCACCAATGTAGTTCATTGAATTCATGCTGGCTCATGTCAGTTTCAGTTGAAAATCCCAGGATCGACATAAGGATATGCAAGAAACTCCCCCAGTTTATTGCCTTCCACATCGTAATGGAGCATCCGAAAACAAACATCACAAAAGAAACAAGGATCCTCTGGTGCCAGACTGTCTTTGTTGGTTACCCACCTGCAAGTTACAAAATACAAGTGTTTTCCATGTGAGTCAAACACACTTGTGACAAACACCTCAACATTTTACTCAAGAGTTGGGGATGGCAGCAACAAACATAGTAATAACGTTACACTGACCAGGTACTACCTATACTGCGTATCTCCCACCCCAGGCACACAGCTCTTTTCCAAACTCCACACCCATCCAGTGTCAATCCCAGCTGCTGTCTTACACTGCTACAGCAGCATTTCCTGAGGAACTCCTCAAACCTGTGTAGCTGGTACAGTGCATAACCAAAAAAAAAAAAACCAAAAAAAACCCCCCAGGAATCTTCTGTCCACCCTATGGCCTGGCCATTTAAGTCATAAAAGATAAATGTTTTTCCTTAAGGTAAGAAACTGTGATACAGAGCAGACACGTGACTGACCCAAACTACTCCGAGTAATAACAAAATCCATTTACAAGACTGAAAGAAGGGCCTGGATGATGCAGACAAGACAAGGAGAGGATTGCCACACACTTCAGCAAGCACTGAAGTTGACATGAACACAGCTGCCAGCACAAGGAGGGCCTGCTGTGTCACCGAGCAATTAATTTGTGGTAGCGCTCAGAGGCCGTGACAGCTCAAGGCCTCTAGTGATTAAAGATGCTACCTGCACAGATTAGAACATGCAGGACAGCCAGCCAAAGCAGCTCTGCTATCCATGGTTTACCATCTCCCCACTGAAGCTTAGTGCTTAATCCTGGTTTTAATTTAATGCATTTACATCATCTCTGGTAACGTCCTCCCCATCCCACCTTTCCCCTACATTGACCCTTTGGCTCCACCTCCCCTTATGGCCCAATGCCTCACAGATTATAGCCACTTGTGAAGGCATCCTAAGGGCTCTGCTAGGAACACTAGGATGGGCTGCCATCACGAGGGGAATTGGCTCTTTGCCTGATTCCAGGGAAGTCTAAGGCCAAACAAGCAAGATAACAAGGACACAGCTGCTGTGTCAAACTGAGGCTGAGAGTGTAAGCTGCCCTGGGGGGGAAAAAAGGGCAGCGGCTGATTTTATAAATAAATCATTCAGACCTATAAAATCAGGAAGCCTAGCCTAGCCTGTAGAACTCCTTTAGAGGACTTTCTACTGTGCCTATTGAAAGGCTTTCTCATGTCTAAATAAAGAGCACTAAAGTGTATAAAGAGCACTGAATTCACATTCTGCTCTCTTAACTGCAGAAAATCTGCATCACAAGAAGTTCCTTCAAGTACAGCTGTACAGCACAGAGCTTTCAGGTAGAGGTTAGGAGTCTACCTGTGGGGAAAGCTACATGCCTTTTAAAAATCTCTAGATTTCACTATATTAAAGTTGGACAGATCCATACTTCCCTCTACTGAGATGCTAGATTTAATGAAAGCTCTGTACGACTTCTGGCAAATGAATTTGAATCACATGTCTTGTCATAAGGGAAAAATGCAGCATTTTCCCCCAAAAGTAAGATTTTAAAAAGTAATTGACAAAGAGCTGAGCTCTATGTATGCAAAAGAACCTGAGCCAAATAATGAACCTCTTCATCATTTCAGTTCTTTTGATCATCCTGAATCATCATCTTCAAATGAACACTACCTGCAGGAGGCCTTTTGCTGGGCAGGGAGAGGACAACCGCCTGAAGAGTAGGTCTCAGAATACTTGCATGAAGATTATTCATACTCCTTATCAAATACATACAGAGCTTTGATTTTTTTTTTTTTTTTTAAGTTAGTAGCAGCACGTAGAAAGACCTATTTAAGAAGACAACTTAAAAGGACTGAGAATGTAGCATACCTGGCTGTATACATTTTGCACACAAAGCATTTTCTGGTACATAACCAGTGTTTCTTGATTAGCAAGGGATAGAGGTTCCTGTCCAGGCAGTCATCATGATGAATGAGCCTCGAGGGAAATAAATAAATACATTAAATACAATAAAGTCTCGGCCTCATTGGAATTTATTGGAACATAAGCATGGACATTGAAGATAAAGCAAATCCTGCGTAAACTATGACTAGACTTCTGCTTAGCATTTGTTAACACAGATGAAGACTTGGAGATAGGCTGCTAGTTGCACCATCCGTGGATTTTATGGTCAGGAGTAAATTCAGTTTGTGTAGTAACTCAGCAGTCTTCAGACCATCTACTTTAGACAGTCTTTTCAAAGCTTTTATCTCCTACATAGACCAACAGGCAAAAACATCACCAGGTGAATGTTTAGACGCTCATAATCCTGAGATCATCTACTTGCAACATCTATGCCCTTCTTTGGGTGCCTCTTGGGAGGCACCATTTATTAACAATGCTTAGCTACATCAGGCTTCTGGGAACTGAAATCAGACAATCAGGAGTGCTCTCTCTACCCATTAAGCACTGAGCAGAGTATACACAATAGTTCTACTGTTGATGTGGTTCTCACCTCACAGCCACTATCACCTCCTCCTTCTCTCCCTTGCCTATCCACCTCAGCCCACTATTTCCACTCCTCTGTTCCCTTTTCAGTTCCTGCCCCTTAGCACCAAGTCTACACTAACGAGTCCAGTCGTCTTCAGCTAGACCATTAACAGCATTCTGCTCCCTGGTGCTCCAGAACCAGTATGTAAATCCGCCACACATTGGCTCTGCATAGAAAGGGCTTTTCACTGTGGGTGCTATTCCTCCCATACCACAGTCATGCCATGCTCGTCAAAAAGCAGTCTTTTTATGCAGACAAATTATTTATAAAAAAAATATGCAAGGGAGATTACTTTCTTCCTTGCAGAGGTAGTCACAGGTATACGGAATAAAATCTTAAATAAGCCCTGCAGAAGGCAGCAGAATAATCTTAAAGTTAGTCTAACAAATATTCAGCATTCAATGTCTGAAGTTTGTCCACAGGAGGCTTGCTTTCAACTGCCTAAGAACTCCCAAAGAGCAGTAACTTACCTTATATCTGTGATGATAATGATGTGCTCACAGTTCCCTTGGTGGCAGAAAAGGTATGGAAAGCCAATTTTGAGGGACAAATCATTAAATGTGTAGTCCTCCATTTTAACAGACTGAAGATTTCCATAGCCTCTGTCATGAGATTCTGACCACTCAATGATTGTTCTGAAAACAGAAAAGTCAACAGCATAGCAATGCTATAAACTGTGAATGCACAGAAAAGGCAGGCCTTGGGGGACATGCAAAACTCTTCACTGGGACACAGTTAAAAAGATGAGAATCAAAACACCTCACAACACTTTGTAATAATTTAAGGTAATTTCACAGCAATACCACAACCCCACAGAACTGTGCACTGTTCTTGTGGAACACCTGCCTTTAAATCCCCACCAGGCAGCTTCCCGGGGAGTTCTAGTCAGCGTGTATGCTCCTGATGGCACCCATCCAGGTCAGGTCGTTCGCAGCGCGACACTTCTCAAGCATTCCAATAATTCAAGTTACCAGCAGGTCATTTTTGCTCCCTTGGTCAATAACCTTGTTTTAAAGTATTAAAAAGCTTTTTTTGTTTTTGCCAAGGAGAAACACAAAGCTGACAACTGCACTGTTACATTTCCAAAATTTAGCACTGGAAGGGCACGGGCCACTGTTGCGATTATTTCTTGGTTTTTCAGCACACTCCTACATACAAGGCATTTCACTTCTACAAGCCGGGTATGTTATCACAAGCCCTTCCATGAAGATCATTGTTGCTCATGGACAGAAAGAGAAGGAGCAAAATAGTTAATTTCTCTGAAGTCACACACCAAGTCTAGCATAACAAGAACAGAGTCCAAACTCACAGCTCTTCCACAGCATCCATGTGGAATTTTAACATCTTCATCTCCTAAATCTCACTAGTGCGTCAGCAAGCCCATACTTCCTTAAAATAAACTACTATGTATAGTTTAAATGGATATGACTTATGCTCAACCAGTGTGAGCTATAGTTCCAGAGACATCTGAGACTTTTGGCAATGCCATCTCAGATTTCTTTTCCCAACAGTCACACAGTCCCCTTGTTGACTGTACCATGAAGGCATTCAGCGTATTTCCAAGACTGAGCAGAACAACCAACTTCCATACAGCTGAGCTTGTTGTCTTTCTGACCCATCTTCTACCTCACAGGCAAATCTTTTGGTGGTCATTACAGCCAGCGAGGGCACTTAAAAAGCCAGTACAGATCAGCACCTGGCACCTTCCACAGGTATCCCATCCCAACAGAGCAAAACAGGATTTGCAGGGGAAAAAATGCATTCATCCCCTTTACACAAGGGAAGTGAGTGGAAGGTGTAAGTAGAGCAAGTAAAAAACTTCTATGTAGAAATCAATTCAACTTGAAAAGATAGTAAGAAGAGTCCGTTCTAGCTTCATACACTAGACATTCCAGTCTTAAAAACAGCACAAATCATAAACAAAATGACATAAATTTTCTGTCCCGTAAGGTTCTCCTTAGTGAATGTCTACAAATACTGTACCTGCTCAGATCTCTGCACTCTGGGTATCTTTTATCGTTATAAAAGATGCCTTCAAAATAAAAGAAAGCAGATTTGTAGAGATCCTGAGAGAGAGAGAAAGAAAGAAAGAAAGAGAAATAAGTCTGCATTAGTGTTATGAGAGATTAACACCTTAAACAAGAACATGTCAAAAACCAAGACTTTAGGTATCTAAATTATATTAAGACCCCATTCTACAGGTTTCTAAGAAAAGCTTTGCACTGGTTTTAGATGCTGATGTGACAATAAGGCTTATATGATTGCCAGCTATGCAGTTGCTCTGCTGATATTATCTCAAGCCATTACAGGTTATTTTAGTGGTCTTCTCTTATTACTATACCCATCATAGCAGTTACAGATTTCTACAAACACACAGAACAAGAACACAAGCATCACTGCACAAATTAAGTAACTGCACAACACTGACTTAAAAAAAGACTAATAATATTTAAAAAAAATTAGCAAGATGTAGTGGGTTGACCTTGGCTGGCTGCCACACCCTCCACCCAGTTGCTCTCTAACTCCCCCTCCTCAACAGGACAGGGGAAAGAAAGAAAGACGGGCAAGCTCGTGGGTTGAGATAAAGGCAGTTTAATGAGAAAAGCAAAGGCCACGCACAGAAGCAAAGCAAAAAGAGGAGATTTATTCTCTACTTCCCATCAGCAGGCCATGTCCAACCACCAACTGGGAAGCAGGGCTTCAGCATGCATAGTGGTTGCTTTGGAAGACAAATGCCTTAACCATGAATGGCCCCCCTCCTCCTTACCTCCAGCTCTTAACTGCTGAGCACAACGTCATAGGGCATGGGATATCCCTTTGGTCAGTTGGGATCAGCTGTCCCAGCTACATCCCCTCCCAGTCTCTTGCCCACCCCCAGCCCACTGGCCTTGAAGGGACCTGGAGAGACAGCCTTGAGGCTGTGCAAGCACTGCTCAGCAATAGTCAAAACACTGGTGTGTTATCAACCCTGCTTAGCCAAAAATGCAAAGCACCGCACTACATGGGCTGCTATGAGGAAAGTTAATTCCATCCCAGCCAAACCCAGTACACCTGATCAGGACAGACCACCCCACAAAATACTTTTTGCTGGAATGAGAGAATCATTGCAGTTCTGTCTCCTGCACGTGCGCACGCGCGCACACCCCAGCCACATGGGAGCAGTCCCTGGTCACATCTATATAAACAAGACAGACATGCAAGTTTGGAAGGTCCAACCACCTCACTTCTGGGGCTCAGAAGAAAATCTAGCAGCCTTCAGAAATCCCCCTTAATTATGAAGTTTGTCACATGCAGACAGGCCATTTGTACCAGTCTTCTCTATCAAAGATAATTAACAATTTATGGCACTCATACCAGCAGTGCAAGAGTCATCAGATTCCAAAACATCTCAAGAAACTGAGCTAACCCATGAGCCTCCCTTACACATGTAATAAATTCTGCAGCAGGACTACAGAACTATTTAGGTAAAATCACATTCATCCATAAAAAAGCAGACTCAAGCTGCAAGCATCTCCTTGAGAAGGAACAAAATAAATAACAACAGGAAAATATCTTGTTGAAATAGCACAATCAAGTATCGTTCTGTTTATCTAACCAGACTGCTTGCACTACAACATTCACAGAACTGTTCTCTCCTAAAGCTAAAAATTAGAGACATATTGTATTTTTACAAACTGGGGGACAAGAGGCTGGAGAGCAGCCCCATGGAAAGAGATCTGGGGGTTTGGGTTGGTGGCAAGTTGAATATGAGTCAACAGTGTGCCCTGCAGCCATAAGGGCCAACCGTGTCCTGGGGTGCATCAAGCACAGCATTGCTAGCCGGTCAAGGGAGGCGATTGTCCCACTCTACACTGCTCTGGTGCAGCCCCACCTCGAGTACTGTGTGCAGTTTTGGGTGCCTCAATATAAGGACATCAAACTATTAGAGTGTGTCCAGAGGAGGGCGACCAAGATGGTGAAAGGCCTTGAGGGCAAGACTTACAAGGAGCAGCTGAGGTCACTTGGCTTGTTCACCTTGGAGAAGAGAAGGCTGAGGAGTGACCTCATCACAGCCTACAACTTCCTCAAGGGGGGCACAGCAGAGGGGAAGGTGCTGATCTCCTCTCTCTGGTGATAGGTGATCACCAGTGATAGGACATGAGGAAATGGAATGAAGCTGCATCAGGGGAAGTTCAGACTGGACACTGGGAAAAGGTTCTTCACTGAGAGGGTGGTCGGTCACTGGAACAGGCTCCCCAGGGAAGTGGTCACAGCACCAAGCCTGTCACATTTCAAGTTCTTAGTCATATGGTTTAGTTTCAGGTAGTCCTGCAAGGAGCAGGGAGTTGGACTCGATGATCCTTATGCGTCCCTTCCAACTCGAGATATTCTACAATTCTATACAAAATATTGTGTGTGGTTTTGCAACTTAAAACCAGCTATGCAATAGGAGAAAGAAATGGAACAGATACACACAATATATATATACAGCCAAAATTAAGAGGTGAAAAAACATACAAACTTTTTATTTAGACACAAATGTCATTTAACATCTAAGAAAGGAGTAATTGTTTAATTAAGGCATACATCTGCTTCCCATAATTTCCATCTTCTGTTGTTGCTGTCAAAACAGCCTTTATATAAACAAGTAACTTGAGCAGAGAGAATATAACCAGGAAAGGTTGTGCTTTTTTATCCAAATAACTTTTTTACCTTTAAATTGTGCTCTTCCAAGCTCTTTCTGGCATATAAGAGGGTGTTGTTTTGGTTTGTGCTATAACCCCTTAAAGACTGAGGCCAGATAGCAGTGTACATTATCAAACTGATCACAACACATGTACAGGGCTTAAGAAACAGCTACAAGAAGCAGGAGACAGCCTTGTGCAGTGGACCTTGAAGCAGGGAGATGCCTCAGGTCGAAAAACCACAGCAAGCAGGCAACCACATTGTTCAGGTACTTTATTACATTTTGCCGAAGAAAAATAATAGCCAAAAAAAAAAAAATCACCTTTGTTGCAAAAGCAATACAGCTAACGCACAAGTCTATCCCAGGCTGGGGAAAACAAGTCAGCTGCCTTGCACAGCATTCATTACTGTAAGTGAGGAGAGGTTGAAGGACACAGACTAAACCCTCTCGAACCACTTCAGAGTGGAACACTTCTGTACCGACTGCTGCTCAGGGAGGCTTTCTGCATATGCTGTATATGCAACTCTGCGCAGCTACAACACATACAAGTGATGCTAAGATACACTGTATACACATGCAGTCAACCTGTAAGTTACAGAATACAATTTTTGCCGTATTTTCAATCGCACTTTGAAGAAAAGCAGTGTTTCACGACCTTTCAGCAAAAAAATTTATCTGCCATTATACACTGGCATTCAGGTATTGCACAAAGCCTATTTAAATCCTGTATTTTCTCCAAGTATACAGAAAACTGCAAGGAATCCTTCATTCAATGGACTTAAGAGCATTTTGACAAAGCATCTCTCCAATATGCATCAACACAGTTTTATCACAGTGGAGTGGTCCCAACTTTTACACCTCTAATTACACTGTATGCCAGCTCTTGGATAAATAAAGGTTGTATTTATTCATCAACAAGATGCATGTGCAGGCAGGTCAGACAGATAATGACCGGGGAAGGTAACTTCATGGAGCTTGGTTCCTTTCCATAATTAACATGGTGACCAGCTCACTCCAATTCTATAACTTGGGAGTTGCTCACTGCTCATTAAGTCACAGAATCCTGACGAACTTTTTACATGTCTGTCAGGAGGCAGCCTATGACCTGCAAGAGCTTACAGTGGAAAAGAAAAGGCAGAGAAAGAGTGGAAGACAAGAAGTGAACATGAATTATTTTACACGCTGGGTACAGAGGCATAAGGAGACTAAATAAGAATCAAACAGGAAAGCTGTGGACAACTAGGCACTCTGGATCCCCAGACCAGTCTTTATGTGTCTTTATTAAAAAGAGAATGAATGCTCATCTGTGCTCAGAGGTCTCTTTGAGCTATTAACTCTAAGGTGTCAAAAGACAGGAAATGCAGACACTGCGGCCAGAGATGGGACTCACGACTGGAGATGACCTGCACGAAGGCACAGCGGTAGGAATGTGCTTTGCATTCAGACAATTTGTTTCAGCTCTGTTATTGTCAACCTCCCTGGCTCTCCAACCACAAAGTGTAAGTACTGCCATGCTCTGGCAACTCCTTACCAACTTTTGTGAGTCACAGCAGTTCTGAATTAGCCAGTCCTTTAAAGCTGCTCCAGGCTTCAGAAAACAGCTGTTTGTCATAGGGAACGGAAGGCCAAGGGAGTCACTGTTATAAACTTCTTGGGAATTTGAGTCAGGTCTTTCCTGATTAATGCTGGCCAGAGGTATGACTCAGACATTCCTTCCTCCCAGATTTTGCATTATCCTTCAGTTTGCAAGGAGGGATGCCCTATTACGTTTCTCCAGGGAATCCCAACAGTAGTAGTAACCACATAAAAGATCCAGGATCCTTGTTAAAAGTGTCCATATCTGTGGAATAAAATACCTCAATATTGCCCATTCTCTTAAACATCCCCGATGTTGGTTTGACTAAGGTGTTTGTTTACAAAAAATGCAAATCAAACCACAAAAAGCACACAATAGAACAGAACGGAATATTTCAGTTCGAAGGGATCTACAACAATCACCTAATCCAACTGCCTGACCACTTCAGGGCTGACCAAAAGTTTAAGCACATTATTAAGGGACTTATCCAAATGTCTCTTAAACACTGACAGGCTTGGGGCATCGACCACCTCTCTAGGAAGCCTGTTGCAGTGTTTGACCACCCTCTCGGTAAAGAAACGCTTCCTCACGTCCAGTCTAAACCTCCCCTGGCACAGCTCTGAACCCTTCCCATGCATCCTGTCGCTGGATCCCAGAGAGAAGAGCTCAGCACCTCCCTCTCCACTTCCCCTCCTCAGGAAGCTGTCGAGAGCAATGAGGTCGCCCCTCAGCCTCCTTTTCTCCAAAATAGACAAACCCAAAGTCCTCAGGTGCTCCTCATAGGACGTGCTTTCCAGCCCTTTCACCAGCTTTGTTGCCCTCCT